TCTAGTATATAAAATTTTTAATTTTTGTTCTAAAAAGCTGCTTTAAAAAGCAGTAAGTATGCCGTCCCAAACGAAGTCTAAATGAAAGTTTTGATCCTTCTAAAAACAGTCTATTGTTATCCCATCTCAAAGGTAAAGTGTATTAATAATCTAATACTAGGGGTGTCAATATTTGACCCGACCAGAAAATTTCGGGTTCGGGTTTGAGATTTTGACCTGTTTATAAAATCGGGTCGGGTTCAGGTTGACCTAGAAACCCGAAATCAACCCGGTTTGACCCGTTTTTAATTAATTTAGGAGGATTTTAAAAAAATTGTTATGAAAAAAGTAAATGATATTTCTAAAAAAATAATAACATTGTTGTCCAAATTAAATTAAGCTTGATTTATTTTAAATTGATTGAAGTAAATCTGACTTTAATTTTATTTAGGTTTAAATAAATTGAATTAAATAAATTTTTTTTAGTAAAACATACCTGAAGCGGGCCGGGTTCGGGTTCGGAAAACCGACCCATTTGAAAAACCAAGTCGGGTTGAATAGTGTAAGATCAGTTTCGTGTTAGACCCGAACTCGACCCGTGACCCGATTTTGACAGCCCTATATAATACCATTAAACATATATAGTTCATCTTGCAACATGTCCAATAATAGGATTAAATTAAAGAATAACATATTTGTTTTTTTAGTTCATATAATGCATTTTTATTTAGGCTTTGTTTGGAACGGCTTTCTTACTGCTTATTATAGCAATTTTTTAGTACAAAAATTTAATTTTTTATTATAGAAAACTGCTTAAAAAATAATAAAAAAGCCGTCCCAAATGAAGACTATGTTTATATAAAAATTTAAAATATAAAGATTCTTAAGATAAAGTTCAAAATATTTAAATTATTCGATGGATGCATGTATTCCATTTGTCATCCATTCAATCATTTTAGAGGTTTCTTTTCACCTATGAATTGGTCTTCAAATTAAACCATTTTTTATTTTTGTTGATGCTCAAATAAAATATACAACATATGCTATACAAAATATGCTATTTAGTGACACCTTTAGGCAATGTGACAAATCATATAAGATTTCAAAAGTTGCTCTCATCATAATATAATATTTTTATTAGCATTGAATAGAAAAATGGATAATACTTCTACTAAAAAAAAAAAAAGGAAAAAAGAACTATTTTTGTCGGGGTTTAAGAAGTCAACAATATATACCTAATCAATTATTATAATAATATTGAATTAATAATGCCATCTCTTACAAATGTCGTTTTATTGTTTTTTGAAATATTTTAATTTCTTAAAAATGGTTTTTACTAAATTATTATAGGTGTATTAAGTATTAACTCTAAAAATATGATGGAATTATACAGTAACAAACAAGATAATACCTATAATACCAATGCAGAAATATTGTATTTCTTTAAACATTTTTAAATACCGAAATAATTATTTTTTTATTTTATAAAATTTATATAATATCTTAAAACACTTTTCAACAAAAGTTAGTTATTTTAATGAAAAAATAGCAAATATATATTGATACATCATCAAAAATTAACTTGATCAGGCACAAATCTCGAGTTGTAACCAAGTTGAAAACTCCCCGAATTGAAAATTAAATTATGAACTATCCAAATTCAAATTTCAACAAACTTATAGTGAAACTGAATATGTTGAAGAGACGAATCCAACAACACCAAAATCGGTCCAATTCGAGCCCAAATGGTCCAAATCAGGGGCCTGAAGCACAACAAAAATGTTCAGAACATAAATTAGATGACCAAATCATATCCAAATATAACATGCTTATAGTCCAATCGAGATGCTCGATGAGATGAATCCAACGAGCCCAAGATCGCTTAATTCTGACATCATTTGTGCACATAAATGATTGACAAACATTTTATGATTAAGGGGATCAATATAGCCCGTCTGATGGAGCACTCAAAATTTGCTCCAGATCTTCTCCATATTTAAAGGGCATGCCACTCTCATAAATCTGTAAATAGACTCTCACTTCCCACATGAAAGGGGGTTGGCTTGGACCTTTGGCTGGAGATTAGAGGGAGCTCTGAGGCTTCAAGAGCTCCAGCACCATCGCCTTGCCGCCGTTCGCCACTAGACCATTGCTTAGCTTCCGACCACCGTTAGACTTCCACCCGACTGGAGACCACCACCGGACTTCCACCAGATCATCGTCGGACCACCGCTTGACCGCCGATTACCGCTGGACTTCCACCCAGCCGACGACTGCCGTGGACTTCCGCTCGACCATCCTCGAACCATCGCCTGATTGCCGATAGACTACCACCAAATAGCCTACTGCTGCCGGACTTCTGCCTAACCATCGTCGAACCACAGGCCGGTCGTCGACCGGTGCCAGATTACCACACAAGTGCCGATCATAGCCTTACTTCCATCCGGCCATCGTTAGACCACTGCCCATCCGACAACCGCTGCCGAACTACCACCCAGTCGTCATACTTCCGCTCAGTTGCCGTACCTTGTCATGCGGCCAACCATTGTCGGACCTGCCATCAACACACCACCCTGACACCGTCACACGCCGACTACGGTCCCTTTGACCTTCGTTTCCTGCCGACTATGGTCCCTCAGATCTCCGTCTCCCGCCGACTGAGGTTCCTCTGACCTCCATCGCCCGCCGACTACGGTTCCTCCGACCATCATTGCTCGTCGACTACGATCCTTCAAACCACCGTCGCTCGCCAACTACGGTCCTTCCAACCACCGTCGCTTGCCGACTACAGTCCATCTGATCTCCATTGCCTAAATACATTCCTACTAACCAAATGAACATGCCAACGTTCTCTTGAGAATGACTCCCTTATCATTGGATTCTTCCAACCCCAACTATGTAATGCGCTATATATGATACATTGAGCCAATGTCTTCCTCTCGTAGAAGGGCACCATTTGTAATCGACTATAGACATTAATGGAATCATTTTAACTAGACCAAGCCCTGTGATTTTTCCCATTTTCAGGATTTTTCACGTAAAAATCTTGGTGTCTCTTATAACTCACGCACCCCTCTCTCTTTATCCGTATGTGTGCTAAATCTTCGTTCAAAGCTAAGACATTAAATACTTTATCTCTCTACCGCCACCAATGTTCCAATCCACAACATATATATTTTTTATTCCAAACAATTTATTTCCACCAAAATCTAAAATTTTGCAAAAAATACATTGAGTTGATATAAAATTATAGCAACCATAGGATCCAGACCAAGACAAGGAATCTAAAATGTATCACACTTGACAAAACTTCAACCACATAAATACACCATCCACTTGACAAAATAAAAACAAAAATAAGAGTAAAAATCGCATCCAGGCTATACGCTAATACGAGAATACTTGCATAAAAAAATAATCATCAACAGTTACATGCTTCAAGAATACACATCCAACATCATACATAAAAGGCTAAAACTTTATTCAAATATAACATACAGAGCATGGGTTGAACCAGCCTCTTTTTTGAGCGGATAAAATAATACTGTGAAAAGTAAAAGAAAATTTTCATAGAATTTGAAAAACTGCATTTATTGAACGTGGATAAAATAGCTAAAATGTTTGTTCAAAGAAAAAAATTTTCAGATTAAGCAATTGCACACCCTAAGCTCTTTCTGATTCCACCCCTACCACAAAAAATCCAAAACTGAAAAACTCAGAGTTCTCTTAGATCAAGTAAAAAAAACTATAAAATTACTTTCTGCAAAGTCCAAACACAAATGGTAAGAATAAGCTTTAGGTTTCAAATTTTCAAACAAATTCATCCACAAAAAGAAAAACCAAAAGACAGTACAGGACTCAACTGCTATAATGAATAGTAAGAGGCGGTATGGGAACACAAACAGTTCTCGACAATTGACTTTTTGAGGCTGTAGCGCAATCAACGACAGGACAATATTCAGGACAATAGCACTATCAACCCAATAAATCTTAGACAATAGAGCAACAGCGACAAAAGCTTGAAACTTCAACGCAATCAATGATTAACAAGGAACCTCAATATTATAGCAACAAAGGAGATTTTAAAATTGCATTTACAAATGCAACTCCTGCTTCTTCGTTTGGAACAATTTTCTTTTTTAAAATAAATTTCTGACATAAAAAGTTCTAATTTTAAAATTTTTGTATTAAAAAATTATTTTAGAAAGCAGCAAAAAAATTATCCCAAACAAAATCTCAACCGCTAAAATATTTCAGTAGTTTTATAGATGCTCTTTATTGGGAGTATTAGGACAAATAATAAATGAAATGGGATGAACCTCACTCTCTATTTTGATGTGTTTTCTTCTCCTCAGCCCAGTTTTTCAGAGTTACATCATGTATCGTGATCCCAGTAATGGGTTTGTATTACATACTTGAGTCATTTAATAAGATCTTGCTACATACTAAAAATAAGAAGTTTAGGCACTGCTTGGACTGATGGAAAGCAAATGAAATGAGATGTAGATTTCGTTTGGGATTAGTGTTTAGGGAAGTATCATGAATGGCACGTGGTCATTCTAAACTAGAAAGCAGCTTTAAGAAACAGTAAGAAAATGATCCCAAACGAAACCGTAATTCAAATAATTTGTGGGATTATAATGAATCCCATAGGCCATGGCCTTGATTGAAGTTCTTAAATACTATTTTTCTCTGATTTCATAGCACTAAACACATCCTAAATGCGAAAGTAGGGGATTTTAAATAATAAGGTAGTCAAAGCAATGAAATGATCGTTCTACTAACTTAGGTTTTGTTTGGGAAAGCTTTCTTGCTGCTTCCTAAAACGACTTTCTAGTGTAAAATTTCCTAATTCAATAAATTTTTGTACTAAAAAGTCGTTTTAGCAAGCAACAAAAAAACTGTCCCAAACGAAGCCTTAATCTAGAAGGGACTTATTCAAAATAAACATGAATTTTAAACTCAACAAATCCCTTAAATATGAGAATTAACTTTTACAAACAAAACAAGCAATAGCAAGCTCACAATCAACATATTGATATTAGTTTCTATCAAATAATAGATTTAAAATTCATTATGAAATTATTATAACCATACAAGCTGAATTGGATTTTAAAATTACAATAGTTGAAAATGCAGGCTTTGTAAATCAACCTCTACCACAACAGAACCTTAATGTCCTGCATTTTAAGCTAAAGCAACAAATAACAAGAAGATATTACTTTTGAATCCATATTTGCATAAGTAATCACAACAGTTTAATGAAGGTTTCTTATCTGAATCATTATTCTTCACAGTTTGCTACTCGCCAAGCTAGCTGGTGATGCCCTGGATCTCTGTTCGACAATCCTTGAGAGTTGCTTCACCTCCTCCTTTGCGATATGCCGAGGCCGGCTTAACCGATGCCCTCCATCAACGATAATAGTAGCTCCATTGATATATTTACCTTAATAGAATAAGAAAACAACAAGTTTTAAATCAGGAGCCAATATGTGCAGTTGTAGAGCTAATTTGATGAAATGGTGTAGTAATCAGATTATAAAGTTGAATGCCAGTTACCCCATGAACCTATGTAATCTTATGTGGTATCATCAAAATATTTGTTAAGTATTTCATATTAGGTTAATCTATTTCTAGCAAACATCAAGACAAAAGTCCATTTTCACTAATCACCTTAGAGGATGAGTTCATGCGTAGGAAGAATAAGTGAAGATCTCAAGCGCCAAGACATTGATTTAGTTTGATTTATCAAAGGTCTCAATGATGATGAGCACATATACACTCAAAATATATTTTTAAACTTAGGAAAATTATTTTATAAAATTTGGAATTTTATTTGGGTTGATTCGCAAATTTTTTAATTTATTTCACATTTATTTAATGAGAAAATTATTTAAAATAATATTTTATATTGTGATCATATGTATAATGGCTCAATTGATTCTAATTTTCATACATTGCAGTGAATTTTCCATCCTTGCTTGCTAATGCTAATGATATCGTTGCTTTTCTAATTTAAAAATTAGCTTAATTTGAATATCATAAATATTTCTCAAGTGTTTTGTATCTTGGAAAATTTAATTGATTGAAAACATTTCATATATATTCATTAAATTTACTTAATTAGGGTAATAAATTATTAATTATGATCATATAAGTGTTTATCTCATCCATGAAGAATTTGAGCTTAGTTTTAATTCCATTAGATTCTTTTAGTTATTTACATATATTTTCATATTTACTATCACATACTTTACTTTTCAGAAAAAGTCTAAAATAATCTCCCGACTAATAACAAGTGCTCAATTTAGTCTAAGGTTTTGCACTACCCCAATTTCGTTTCCTAACTACTGAAAATTGATCAAATTTAGTCCTAGGACCTAAAATAACAATTAAAGCTAACACTAAAGTTAAATATAAGGGTATTTCAGGTAGTGCAAATGTATGTGAGATCATATTGCTTGTTGATTTATTTATCATTTAATAAATTATAATAATTATAAATATCAAAATAAAAATCAATCTACTAAATAATAAGAGTGAATAATTAGTAAATAATATAATTTTTTTAAACAAAATCTAAATGAAAGATCATTCAAAACTCTAAAACCCTTTCTCCAAAAAAATATTATCATTCAAGTATAAAATCAAATAGAAATTTCATTACAAAGAAAATTTATCTTGCTGAACAAATATTTCCTAAGATTACTTTTATCTTATTGAACAAATAGTTCCTAAGCAGTGTTGGCTCAACAAAAATGGCACGAATGCATGAATCCCGCTTTGCAGCCGTAGGATTCCATTTTCCTCAAGTAAGATTGTAGTTAACTAGTTTCCCCTGAGGGCAGTGTGATGGGGACATCAGATCAGCATGGAAGGTTTATCAGAGACGTGGCCGCCGATCTACAGCCACGATCGAGTCCTTATATTTATGAGTCATTATTGTATTTTATTTTATTCATGTATTTTCCTATTTGCTTAGTGTCATTTTGTTATTTCCGTTTGTACCCATTTAGTGGGAATTGTCGAGTGTGAGCCCAAAGGGCAAGTTAGTCTTTTATTTTCTTGAGTCTTTGTACTCGGCTATTTATAGCCTCATGTCTTTTGTTTTGAGTAATGAATGATTGATTATTATAATTTTCTTCTTGTATGAGCATTGTGAGAACTTGTGAGTTCTAATGGACAGAGATCCCTAGGAGAGGGAGATTTGTGCACTACCAATCAACCTTGGAGACGGCCGGGTTCGTGGTCTTTATCTTTAATTTCCTCTTCACTTCCCCATAGCCCACAACCATCCGATCTCCCACCGCTCCGAAGTCGCTCCCCCTTTCTTCCTCACCTCACGGCCAAATCACCCCACCCGACCCTTCATCCCGCCGGCCCCATCTCCCTAGCCGCCGACCAATCCCCTCCTTCCTCCATCCAAACTTGTTTCCTATTTTAGATTTAATTGGATGTGGGAAGATTTGAAATTCTAAATTAATCATTGCGAATTTTCAAAATCTTTCCTAATTTAAATAGTCTATTTTAGGAAAGTTTCTTAATTAACTCAATTTGAATTTCAAATTCAAATTGAATTTAATTGAGAAATTACCTAATATTCCTAGCCTATTAAATCTACCCAAATCCCCTCCTTGATTGTCTCCCTGGCTTCTATTGCCGCCGGCCCCATCTTTGGAGTCCAATAGGATTAGTTTCCTAATCCTCCAACCCTCCCCAAGGAAATATTTCTAAACCCTCTTCTCATCTAATTGGCCAAAATTTCCTTCTCACTGATTTCCTCAATTAATTTCCTAATCCTAGGAATTGATTTGGGAAAATAAAAGCCCCACCCCTCTGCTACCCACCGCCTCCCCCTTTCTTTCCTTTTGTTCTTCTTGCCACCTCTCTCTCTCTCTACCTCCCTCTCCAATCATCTCTCTCCCTCTATTTTATCTCAAGGATTCGTACCCTGAGTTTGCTCTTCCCAATTTCCTTCTCTTATTCCAAAATTATGAAATCCTTCTCAGATTTTTTGGAATAAAATCTGAACTTGTTTCTGATTTTGTTGGGAAAAGCCTTGAAGTATTAAATTCAGTTCCCGTGGTCACTAATTGAGAAGAACTGCAACCGCTAGAAGTTTCTACCTTAACTCATCCATGAATGGCGGATCCGACAACTGAATACGGCATCACTTGGGACGAAGACGGCTTCACCGACATCCTACGATCCACCTTCTTCGACGTCAATCCGGAGACTGACCTTTCTATTGAAGATTATGTGGAGCGCATCTTGCTTGCTTTGACGGAAGCCATTGACGAACACTTCGAAGGCCTTGAGTGGAGGATCTCCACCTCTCCTTAGCGAAGGTTTCTCTTTCCCTTGCATTTTATTTCTTTTATGTCTAAATTCTCATCGGTTTGATTGCAATCGCAAAAGGCTCCTCCATGTGCTCTTGCTAAGCTTAGTAATCGTAGGTTCTTGAGCGTACTTTCACTGCATCCTAACTCTCGTTGTTAGATTAGGGATTAAATTGAAGGCTACTATTTTGTATTGTTTGATTTTCTTATTTACTTTGAAAGCTTTAAAACTCAGAGCATGTGATTTCGCCTTAGCAAAGTATCTTCTTATTCGTTTTGAATCTTTGTTGAGAATTGCTAGTAATCTTATTCTAAAATTATTCTAATCTAAGCGTTGTGCAATGCCTAAATGAATCCATAAGCATTTCATATAAGTAGTCCTGCATCATAGTGTTAGGGTTTAAAGATATGGGGTCTTTGCTTCCTATGAGCACAAGCACTCATAGTTAATTCCTCTTAACACGTAAGAGAGAACTCTCGATTAAGGATGAATAATATTTTTTCTTTAGTCTCAATTATAAGGAAGATGAAGGTAAACCCGATCAAGATCTCATGGTTTCGTCGTCCCAGGTATACCGTGAGTTCAGTCTACCATATAAAACCCAAATAATGCCATTTTAGACCTCGCACGTTTTTCAAAGCACCGCGACGAGTTTTAAGTGAAAAATTTAAGGTTAACGAAATTCTACAAAAATAATTTTATAAAATTCTACGCAAAATTCTGATCAATTTGGTATATATAACTTGTATCCAATTTCGCTTAAATTAAGAGATAATTTTTAGAAGTTTAGAAATGCCCAAACTACCCCTAATCATATTTCATGACGGGATTGTTTAAGTGAAGGTATTGTGGTCTTTTGTATTTTCCTTTTTCCCTAAATGAGCAAACCGCCCCCTCCCCCTCTCATTTCTTTCGGCCAAACCGAGAGGGAGCGGACGGACCGAGCGGAGGAGGCGCACGGACAGGCTTTGACGGGCGGCTCCGGCGACGATTTTCCGGCGAGAAAATTTGAGGAAAACGTAGAGGAGGACAAGGGAAGTCAAAGTTATGCATCAGAATCTAATTTTCCCTTCTCATTCTCAAGATATTTGGAAAGGAAGATTCCAGGGTTTTCTCCAAATTTATTTTTCTTTCAAATTCCTTCACAAAAGTGTTTCCTAATGGTTTTTGGAAAATAATTATGGAATTTAATTTAAATTTTATAAGAGATAAAAAATTGTGAATTTAAAATTAGGATTTTTTCCTAAAATTGAACTTTTTGAAAGTGATCTTACAAATATGGTTCCTAAGGGTCCTAAGAGGGTTTCTAAGCGTATAAATTGAGTTTTCCTCACAAAATATTATTTTTCTAATTTTTAATTAAAATAAATCCGAAAAATAGTTTTCTAAAATATTAATTTGATGAATGGGAAGTGTAAGCATGCAAAAAATAATAATATTAAAGAAAATATGTTTTCCAAATTTAGGGTTTTAAGGTAATTCCGAAAATAGAAATTAATTTAAATTAGTTTAGGTTTAGGGTAAAGGGTTTATTTTGGTTAAATTGTGTAATTAGACAAAACTATGAATTTTTAAAATAGATGCTTGCTTTATGTAATCATTTAGAGAGAGAAAGAGAACTTAGGGTAATTTAGAATGAGAAGAAGAATTTTATTTTGATTTATTTTCGTAGATTTTTAAGGGGAAATAAATTCTTGTAGGTGTTTTTTTGAGGTGATCTCAAGGGAAGGAGGAATAACATAGAGAATCAAATCCTAACTTCTGTAAGTATGCACGGTTCTTTAATTATAATAATGTCTCTTGTTTCTCACATGTTATATGATTTGATAGCCCAATCATGATTCTTTACTGTTGTCAAATAAATGATCATGAAAATTATATGTATATTTTATGGCCTTATATGATAAAGTTTATATTATATGATATGATATGGTATGAATGTTATATTGAATGTTTGTATGTGCATGCTGAAATGATGGAGCTCACCCCCTTATGGTACTAGCTGGGGATGCTGTACTCGTGCACGTTAAAATGGTAAATGATATGAAAAAGGAAAATGATAAAGGAGTATCTTTATAGTACTAGACGGTGGCTCCTGTGATGGTT